GCACACACATGTGTGGTTGTGTGTGTATGAAGATAAACACATTTCAGAAAAGTATCATGCCTTTAAAACAATTTTAAAGTTAATTAATGTCTAGATACAAGACTTTCATCGTCCATATACAATGTCAAAAATACAGAGCATAACTAGGTAATAGTGTGAGCTTTGCTTTAAGTGACTGAGAGTTTGAAATTGATTATGAATCTTCTGTACTTGAAAAATAATTAAATGAGCTGCATGAGATTTTGTCTACTCAGTTGAAAGCCTGGCAGCTTTTGGGTATTTTTCGTTGACTTAAAAGAAAGGAGCAGAGTCAAAGTTTTTTCTCATAGCATTTATATTTAAGTGAGTTAAACTAACCATTAACCCAAACATTGATTTATTTTTTAAATTATATAATTATATAATTATATTGCATATTCATAGATTCTGTCTAATATAATATAATATAAAATATGAAAAAGAAGTGAATTGAAGGTTTGTAAATAAATAAGGTTCCTAACTTAAATAATAACCTAAAAAGAGTGTGATCTATTTTTGGCAAAAGTTACCTTTAAAAAATATATTTTTAAATGTTATCTCTCTCTCAAGAACCTTAAATTTTCTTGAAACTGCAAATATAGTTTATAAATCTATATTTTTTTAGGGCTTATTTGAAAATGTGATTTCCGAAGTGTTTGCATTGAGAAATGTTTTTAATTCATTTCATCACTCACTTACATCAATGTATGGGAAATATGAAATACAAACAGCCTCACCTCTCTTTCCAGATCTCTTTGAACTTGTCCTTTCTGGTATAATGTGAGCATTACTTATAACTCCATGCTGCACTAAGCCCTTATTTATTAAATAATAAAGGCTGAATTATTGCAATACATTAGGAATATGAAAGATGATGAGTTTAGCTCGACCACTCAGTGGCAGGCGGCTCACAAAATTAGATTTTCCTCTCTTTTTTTTTTCATAGTGTGACGCAGCAGGAAATTAAGTTATATCTACCCTTTGTAATTTATTTTTCTGTCGGCCAACTAAATGAAGTTATTGTTTATGTCTGAAGCCTAGCTTGTTATAACGGAAACAAAATAAAAGCGCGTGTGGAGCTTAAAAAGCTAAGCTCCCCTCCAGTGTCAAATTAAATAGGCAGGGGAGAGTGGGCTGTGATTATCTGACACTCCAGCTCATCAATCATGTCGTCTTCTCAGCTTCTGCAGCTCTACTAACTAACATGGTTAACCCTGTCCTCATCATTCAGCTTGCTGTCAGCCTGTTAAGAGGGCCCCCTCACATAGTCGGTCAGGCCACTAACAACTTCTTCATGCTTTTTTCGTTCAAGTACTGCGATAAGCGGGCCTTTGAAGTGCTCGTCTGTAGTAGAGCAGTCACTTAGTTGGCAACAGTAAGATGTGATTGACATAAAGATACATCTTAAAGCAAAGGAGGTTTCATCAAACCCACAAAGAGTGAGAAATAAATGGAGCCCTTTTAAAAATCTTAAAATTCACTCACTGAAGAGCTGGTGTTCTGTTCTAAGTTCTCTCTAATTGTACGCACTATATTTAACATTGTCATTAATAAAAACTCCTTTGACTCTATAGTTAGTCATATTCTTTTGCTTTGTTACAACTGAGAATGTAAAAAAAAAAATGGTTAAGGACAACATACATTGCATTGTTTTAGGATAAGTTCTGGCTGTAAATATGAAAGCCAGAATGTTGTTGTTTCCTCTGATGTCTTGGTCCAACAGCCTCCCAATAGCTACAATTACTGAGCAATCAACTGTGCATATCTTGACCTAGTCTCATGTTTTTGTGTTGTGTTCCTGCTTGCATGTGTAGAACGGAGCCAGCCAGGCTGTGCATGTAACCAATTTAGCTTGAGTCAGCCTTAACTATGAGTGATGGCGATATAGGTCAGTTGCATTGCTTGTGCCATAGTAGAAGATTGTTTAGAAATGACCCCGCACCCTCTCTGTACACATACATACATCCCCCACACGTATGCAGACTTTCAGACAGACTACCTAAAAAAAACATTACCTGCCTCTTCCATTTGCAGTACCACATGGATGTCTACAAACTAACACAGCTCATTCTTTAGCCCTGTTAGAAATGGTCTGCATACTATAAGAGCTGAGTGCCAATGACATGAGACCAAGGCAAATGAATTAAAGTGGGGGTTGAAGCAGAGCTGAGTCTGCACTGGTTAACTTGTGCATAGGTTAAAGACCTTACCAGAGGAACTGATGCAATGTGTCATTCAGACAAGGAAAAAAAATCACAATGTTTTCCAGATGCTAACAGAATGTAGCTCAGACAAACAATCATGTGTTGTATTTTCTCATTTGAAGGGATTTCAAGAAATTTGTTAAAATATAGCTTACTCCAGAGCATAGAGGTGTTTTATAGATATTTTTAAACTGAAGTTTTTGTGGTGTTAAAAAGTCACATGAATACCAGGGCACCTTGACTCTGACCCTTTTGTCTCTTCATGCTAAAAGGCTTTAATGGAAGTTTTAGGATCGTTGTGTGCGCAATAAGGACATATTTTAATATTCTACCCCACTGAGGGCCAAAGTTAGGTCAGGAATGTGCAGACTTGAAGTATTACCAAAATGGGCAGAGGTAGCACACCAAAAATATGTCTCCAACTTTTTCCAATGACTTTGAAATTAAATATTGTCATAAAACATAAAATACGTATCTTGTTTGCCTCAATTTTTGGCTTCAACATGAGTATAAGACAGTGCCAAAATCATCAGTCATGTTCATAGGTTCTGCTATGCTTCCATCTATCATTTTTTTAATTATCTTTTTTTTGTCTTTGTCATGCCATATTTTATTATGCCACTATAATTTCCCCCGCGAGGATTAATAAAGTCTGTCTCGATACAGGATCTCGCTTATTCGTAACTGTGAGAAGCTGCCAGCCCAGGAACACTTTATTGTTCAGGAGTACCTGGACAAGCCCTTTCTGATGGAGGGCTACAAGTTTGACCTCCGCATCTACATCCTGGTCACATCCTGTGACCCACTTCGCATTTTCCTTTACAATGACGGCCTGGTTCGTATGGGCACAGAGAAGTACCACGCACCCACCGAGGACAACCTGGTGAGTCGCAGATGTTGACTTTACAGTGCAGGATTGGTGCTGATGCCTTTGTGCGTGAGACAAATTGCACAGATCATACAAAGACCTCTTATAACTAACAACATCACAGTAATTGTTGCTTGAAACCAAAATGCTGCTCTACATCAGAGCTTAAACAAAGATACAATAGTTAAATTGTTTTGTTTTTTTGTTGTTTATCATTCAGTTCACTGAGAGAAAAGGTTGGAAAAGTATAATCTACAAATGATCACAAAACATGTATTTACTTTTATACGCAGTCAGCAGAGCAAAATGCACACTGCCTCAGTTTAGAGCCAAAATCGTTCCCATACACACACGCACTCACAAAATGAGCAGACGTACTGTATACACAAAGCTGAGCAAAACTGTCCACATACCAGATGTATCTTGTGATATCAAACCATTCATATTTGCCTCGAGGTTCTGCACCTGCTGAGGCACAGACTGTTGCATATAAAAGTATGCACACACACACACACCCACCCATACACCCCCCCATGACACGTACACACACATGCAGCTTCTTATCGAGCATGAAGTTGGCTAAAATGTCTAAACTGCACACACAAAGATGTCTTGGTCTACTTAGGAAACAGAAGTTTAAATTGTCTTACCAAGAGTGTGAGACAAGATGGAGTGAGTCGCGTCGTAGAGATGGATGTTCAATTCCCTGGGGAGTGGTCTCCAGACAGACATCAGGGGCTTGGGTAACCTGCAGATGCAGTGTTTAAATCTTTGTTGGCTTATGACAAGGATGTGTTATTTATTATGTCAGAAAAAAAAAAAAACAAGGACAATGTAGATTTGTCTTTTTTTAATGCCTAAACATTTGGAGACCAGTGATTGCAGTAGGAGTATTGTTTGCTGAAAGTTTTACAGTTTCTCTACATGTATGGCTATGAAGGAAGCTATTGGGATGGTATTCAGTGAAAAACAATACTGTATTTTATTGCATCATTGTGTATTGTATTGTGTCATATCATAATATAATGTACAGGTACACAAATTTTAGGAAAATGTCTCAGGCATGTCCTGTAAACATAATATTTAGGGACGTCACCTTTGCTTGCTGTATTAGTGCCTACTATTTAATTTATTTAATAGATTAATTAATTCGCTAAAAGAATAACTACAAAAGAATATAAAAGGAAAAATGTGCATTTGATGTAGGGTAAATTTTAGTATCTTCAAGCTAATGACATAAATAAGCAGAAGAGAAATAGTTTGATTTTATTTTTTACCTCTGTAAAAAAGCTTTGGTTTATAAATGAAGAAGCCAGTAACCCATTTAATGCAAATATTACTTTTTCCTAGATGTGATTACAATATTTTTCAGAGCTTACAAAAACAAATCTCTTTCTCTTTTATGCAACAGAGCTCTGATTCAGCTGTCACCTTTGATTAAATTGTCATTAAATACATTTCTATATTTTCAGTCAAAGTGAATCATGTCCCACACCTTCAGCATCTGAAGTGATACTTGCTTCAACAACGTTTTTTTTTTTTGCCTCTATACGAAATTTGACTCTTCGATAAAGTTGTTTTTGGATGTGTTTATCTCCACAGAGCCAGCTCTACATGCATTTGACAAACTACTCGGTCAACAAACACAATGAGAACTTTGAGCGAGACGAGACAGTGGACAAAGGCAGTAAGAGGTCCATAAACTGGTTCACGAAGTTCCTCCACATGAATGACTACGATGTGGCCAAGTTCTGGGGAGACATCTCAGTACGTGTGCAGTACACAAAAGCAAACACAAACATAAATCTCGTGGCAGCCGTTTTGTGTCAGATGTGTGCAATCACAAAAGGAAAAAATATACATTATAACAAAAACACTTTGCAAAGACATGCAGCAAATGTCATCTTTTAGTATCTTCTTCTATATACGCACGCTGTTCCTCCCAACCATCACACGCTGGAGACAATACACAAGTGGACCAACCACGGTTTGATATGATTTGTTATGACATTGATTTGGGGAGCTTGTTTAATTCCAGCATGAGCTCAGAGGAAACAGCATTCCTAGAGGGTGAGCTTTTCCTGTCTAGCTCCACTCTCAACTCATCCAAACACCTTTTTCTCCCTGTAAATAAGCTCCATCTATCCCCGTCATGTGCCCTTTTGTCTCTTCGTTACTTCTTTTCGTTTGAGCCATCTCTTCTGGGTTCTGTTCATGTTTTTCCTCCGTCTTGTTCATCTTTATCTTGACTCATTGTCCTTAGTCATGTGGGTTGTGTTGTTCCTTAGTGTTTTTCTCTTCTTAGCTTTAAAAGTCTGCTGTCATTCTGCACTCACATTTGGTTGATGCGCTTCTCTCTAAGTATGTTTTTCTTTCAGCTTTTTACTCGTCTTTATGTTCACATGCTCGGTGGTTCACCTGCTTGGGCAAGTTCTCAGTTGGGTAACACGTCTTTGTTCTTTCTTCTTATCCATCTTATATAAGCTGTTCATGGGATCTATTTGTCCAAGGCAGTAATTGCTTTTATATATTCCACTTACTTTTCTTCAACCTGATTTTTTTTTCTCTTTCATCTTTTAAAGCCTCGGTGACATACTCGAGTGTCACCCTTTGACTCAACCAGCATGTCCAAGCTCTTCTCACGCTCTCTATTTTTTCTGCACTTTCCTCTGATGCATCACTTGGTTTTTAGTCTTGTCGATTCACCTAAACCTTTATTTTCACTCTGCTCAGTCTCTTATTCCCTCTCCTTTCATTTCAAAATTTATTTTCTTATATTTTGTTCTTGTACAGACTAAGAAGGATGACTGGGTTCTTGATGGCAGTGGATACAGACAGGGAGTCATGGTTTCTTTGTCAAAAGATTGTTTAGTAGAGCTAAGGGTGTTGTGCTTTTTAAATGTGAAACACTAATCTTTGATGTTGATATTAATGTGCAGAATGTAGCCAAGGTTTGAGTTGCAAAACTTTTTTAATGCTGGTATAAATTATAAAAGCTAGGTCGGGAAAATTGTTGTATTTATTTGCTATTCACAGACATGCAGTTACACAAAATAAAAAAATAGACTTTTGCCAAAGCTTAAAAACATGCCATGGGAAATAGTTCATTAGTATTATTCCTTTACACTTTTCTGATTAAATAAATAAATAAAATGTAAAAATAACTATAAAACTTTGTGGCCAGTAGAGAACAGAATTCCCAAAGCTGTTTGACAAAATAAGTAATTTATTAGTTTCTTTCGTTTTGTATGATTTTCTAATTTGATTTGACATTTTCAGCTCTGCTGGCAGCTTTCAGCAAAACTACTTTTCTGTAAGAAGAACCCCATCATTAGGACAAAGCCCAACAAAACCATAAACCCATTAAGATTCAAAACACAAATTAAAATGTATTATTTATCATATTAGGCAAGTATTATCATAGGCATTATCATACCTACAATAAAAAAATGGCATAACAGTTTTAAACAAACATAGATAAAAACATTTACACAAAAACTAATAGCAGTGACTAACACAAATGTTGTGTGACAAACACTAAAATTGTATTTATGTTGATGAAAATGATAAAACAAATAAAAAATACAAAATTTAAAGTGGTTTTCAGAATAAATGAAGCTCAAAAACACAGGTGCACAAGCATAAACAAGAGTTAGTGCTGGTGGAGCAAGATAAGAAAACAAGTGATGTGATCAAGGACAAAAGAGACACACAAAACACATATCCCACACACCCCTTCACACACACACACGCACGCACGCACGCACGCACGCACGCACACACACACACACACATGCAGGGACTTGGGGCACTGACATGGTAAGGAGACCAGGTGATGGGGCAGAGTAGCCTGTGGGTCAAATGGTTGAAGGCTCAACATATAGATGGAGGTGTGCGAGCAACACACAGATTGAAAAGGGAGCAAGGAGGGGGCAAGCCTTATCAGGCGAGGGCCAGACCACCGTACCCCCTGTCCTTCACCCAGCAGTCAGATGGAACTGGGCAAAACTGCAGCCCAGCAGCTCTGCGTGGTGCTTGCCTGGTAAAGGGAAGTTTTATTGCATGTGTGTGTGCATGTGTATGTGTGTCAGACTGAGCTCCACATTTGAACAATGATGTAGGCCAGTGGGTAGCAGCCAGCAAACACTGGTGCAAACACAGATGCACACAGGTTGGGTGCCACTGGCAACACAGATGGAACGCCACCAACGCTGGTGAAAGTCTGTGCTTGCTTGAAGGAAATTCAGATCGCCCTGTGCCAGTAATAGTTTATGATTCTCTGCTGTGGTGAGCTGACAGGAACAAAGAACTCTGGATTGATTATTATTTTTAAATGCATTTAATCTTAGCCTCTTTTGATATTATTTGTGTGTGTTATGACTCACATCTAGCATCATACTCCATTATTACTTTTACCCAAGTCTGAAGTGAATATACCAGTAATTTAAACTTAACAACAATGAAGAAGACTAAAATATTTAGAAAATTGATCGTTTGATAATTTTTTTAATGCTTTTTCATTGTAATTTTTCTCTCTCTTGCCAGGAATTAGTGGTGAAAACATTAATAGTGGCTGAGCCTCATGTGCTGCACGCTTACCGCATGTGCCGCCCTGGACAGCCACCAGGGAGCGACAGCGTCTGCTTTGAGGTCTTGGGCTTTGACATCATACTGGACCGTAAACTCAAACCCTGGCTGCTGGAGGTACGACTCTGAGATTTTTAGTTTATGATAAAATATACTGTGTGCTTCTCACTTTTCAAATGTGATTTGTACGTGTTGCTGTTAAAAAAAAATCATTAATTTTATACACTTTTTCCCATATATTAAAAAAATGAAACGTTCTTAAAACAAGATTTTTTAAAAATTCTAATGAAATCCTTTTTACAATTACTCAATAATATACTTGTAATGATGTCTTTAAAACTGTAGTCCCACCTGTTACTATGGCAGCAGCGCCGCTGAACTACTGTGGCAGTTGTGTCTGAGACATATCCACATACGGAGAGGGAGCATAAACACACACTGATTTTACTTGCACACTCCTGTCCTCATACACAAGTGTACATATTGTAATGAACATGTACTTGAATCTATGATACAATAAACACACCACGCTTACCATTTAAAGTGAAAGCAATGTGCACAACTGTGCAAATGCAATTAGATGTTCATTCAAATGTATTGACTCTTACAGAACAGAAATCTACAGAAGTGTATGCATTTACATAAAGATTTTAAAAAGACAAAACTGACATGTATCCAAGGCATGAAAAAGTAGGTCAGGGCTGCATTTTGACTAACACAATACCAAATCCTCATTTTGTCAGTGCTTGTCTCTCAAGTGTCAGTCATTCCAGAAATGGATTGAAGTCCATTCCAGGATTTCTGCCTCACCTTTCTGATCTCAGCCAGTCAGTAAATATGTGACCTAAATCCTTTAACCCAAAGTAGCTGCACCCCCACCCCCACCACCCTTCCCACAAATTGACTCAAAGCTGGGAAATGTGGCAAAAATTGTAGTTTTTTTATTTTTATTTTTAATCATGCTATCCCAAAATAACATTTTTTAAATGTCTCATACTTGTGAAAAAGTGATACTGTTAGGTTGTTTTATTCAGGTACAAGTGTTGTCTGTCATTGTAGAAGTAGAATTGTCAAATGGTTATAGATTTCTCTTCTTGTGCAGCAGATAAGTTAAAACTTAAAACAAAAAGATGTACAAAGAAGAGCAAAAGAATTGTGCTCCCTTTGACTGCTAGTGCACCATGACACACACACACTCTCTCTCTCTCGCTCTCACTCTCTCACTCTCTCTCTGTGAATGTGTGTGTGTGTGTGTGTGTGTGTGTGTGTGTGTGTGAGACACATAGCAAACAGCCGTGAATGCAGTTGTTCCACTCCAGCAGTAATGATCCCCCCTGTGCTACCAGCAGCTCTGTATAACGCTCATCAATTAACATCCCATGTACACACACACACACACACATTTAACCCTGCTTCTCTTTCACGCAACATTTACAGCGACAATCATTTATTTCCAAAATTCAGCTGATTAGTCAAGGCATAAATTCAAGCATAGAAGCCCCCTCTCCAATCCATGTATATACATCGTCAACTCTAAAAGCAATGGAATTACCACTTTTTAACTTGTTAGTGTTTCTATTCTGTTGGGACACAAAACATGGGAAGGCCCAAAGGCAGATTGGCACGACTGCTGTCCTATGGCAAACCCTCAGGTCTAAATGATTTCTTTCAGCTTATTTTGCAGCATTTTGTGATGAAACTGAATCTATTTCTATTTCACCTTGTTTCGTTACCTTGCAGTCTCTACAAAACAGTTCATCTGTGTCACAAACTGAAACCTGATCCACGCTTTAGAGGGTTGTTTTGAATTTGTGGACTTTCCTTATTGGTGTCACACTGAATTACACATGCCACGCCTCGTTGGGGCTTTACCCAGACTGTTGTTCCGGCCATGTTCTCTCTTACTCTTTAGGATGTCAAAGTCAGTTGTTGAACATGCAAACTCGCAGCCAGGAAATGAAAGTTCAACCTGTGTTGACTCAAAGTCAGTCGGATACCTGAAAGCTGAATTGTATCGCATATAAGAAACTGTCAAATGATATTAGCTGTGTTCTTTGAATTAGTATTTTTGTCAGCTGCCTTCGAAGTGTATATAAGAGGATGGGCAGGGGGGGGGAATTATGGCTGCCATTCACATTGCCTAATTGTACTTCTATAAAAAAGGCACTGTTTTTGTTTGTATTTGATCTCCTTTAATTTAATTTATTTAACTCTTGTCTACCATTGGCCTGTTACTGCATAAAAATATTTTTGCAAGATATTATACACTAGCTCTTTGATTTTTTTTTTTTTAAATGTTCGTCTTAAGAATGTACACATAAGAGACTACAAGACTTGGACCAACACACACCTGCTAAATATCTTGTCACAGGAGTGAAAACACAGACGACAAGAGCGATGGCTCTCAAACCAAGGGGAGGCATCAAACAGATGCATTGTGCTCAAAGCAACCATCAAAAGGGGAGAAGAGAGGGGGGAAAAGATACAGGCTTTTTGTGATTTTTATCTTTATTCAGCTGAGTTTTTGACACAGGTTTACCTTCTATTGACATTCAAAACGCCAGTATTACACAGGCAGACACAAACACACAGACACACACATGTTCAAATGGTGTAACCCGAGACATTCACTTTCATTAAACAGGCCCAGACAGCATCTGTGTCTCGTATAGGAAAAGGCGTTTCATTGAGCCATGATCTTTTCCTCACACACACACACACCCTACACACACACACACACACACACACACACACACACACACACACACACACACACACACACACATGCGTATGCACACAGTCTGATTAGACTGTAGTTTCTTTTGTCAAAACCAAGGCTTTTGCTTTGAGGGATTCATTATGTTCTTTGTCTTCTGAAAGTAAAATTAAAAATAAAACAGAGAAAACATAACTAATGCACAAATTCAGCTTAGCGTCATAACAGGCTTCACTTATAAATTAATCATACACATATAGTAGGTTCCTAAAATTGGGATGTGTGGATCAAAGAGAAAAACACATGGTTTAAAATGCTGTGCGAGCCATAAGGAATGCATTTATTCAATGGGAAAATACAGCAGTGGGACAGCATTAGCACCCTCGTATCTCTTCCAAACCTACACCCCCTTTATCAAGGGCTCATGTGTATCATGACAAATGATCTCAACTTTGGTAAATGAAAAAAAAAAAAAACCCCTAACATTATTAGAAGTTTGAACGGGGGATAGGAGAGGACAAACTCACACTCGCTTACGCACACACACGCAAAACATAATAAACAAAATCCAATAAAGAGCCCAATTTTTAGTTCTCATGTGGTTCTTGCGTACATGTATATCCACGATCCCCACTGAAAGTAGCAGTGGATTGAGGGCTAGCCTCATTATAAGCTCTGGTTTGTTTCCCCACATAAAACATAAAAACTCCAGCTGGTCAACTCTAAACAAGAAGCAAGTGTTTGTAATGAGCACAAATAATTAGAAATTTGCCTGGTCTCTGCAAAGCTGTCTCTAACTGGCTCCCGGCAGCGTAAAAAGGTTGGCCGGCCTGCTTGTTAGCGACCCAGTGAGCTTGCGAAATTGCACATGTATGTGTATAAACACCTTTAAGTAAGCATCTGTGACTCCAAATTTGATTTGTGTTATGTCAATGTGTGTGTGGCGTGGTGACTACATGTGTTTGGTTGCATGATAAACACACATCATGAAAAAATGCTACTTTTTTGTGTGTTTTGTATAAACGTGTCAACTCCCTGTTTGTGTGTGTGAATGTCTGGTGTATGTTTGTCTGGGAATGACCCTTCTTAATGTGTGTGTGTGTGTGTGGGGGTGTGTGGGGGGGGGGGGGGGGGGGGGGGGGGGGGGGGCTGGCTGGCCGTTCTCCAGCCCATCTTTTCATTGACTCAGAGAGGAATTCTTCACAGTCTAATTCAAGAAGCAAAGTAATGAAGAGAGGAGGAATAAACCCTTGTTTACCAACTTTTATGGCATTTTGCACATCATTGTTTCGACTAGGATGCCATCAAACACTGGTCATTGGGCAGCTCCATCATTGATGACATTTAAACTACCGTCTCTTGTATTCTTTTCTTTAGCCCCCTCTTTTGGCACATTTTTGCAGAGTGAGTGGCAGCTAATGAGGCAGACACGTTCAGGTCAACTATGGCACGGGTTTGTTTGTGTCTGTGGGTTTTTGTGTGTGTGAACAGACATCACTACAACAGCCGGACGGCTACCCCAAGGGCAGCAATGCTTCACCCCTTGTTGCAACTTTCCCCTCTGTCTGTGCTCTGAAGCCAATTGTTTCAAGATGAGTTTGGTTCTCCTGTCCATCCCGTCCAGCCAACATAATCCAGACTTCCTTTCTTTTTGAGCGTGTTTATATATATGTGTGTGTATGTGATTGTGGTGGGGGAGGTATTTGTGGGAAGAAGTCTGCGGTGGCAACTGTAAACAGATGCCATGACAAACACACATAAATGGAAACAAAGCATGAATGGTTTTCACTCTTCTCTGTCTCCAAACACACTCAGACACAACATATTCAACAGTTTCAACTGCAGAAAATGCCTCTAACAGCTTGGGCAGAAAAAAATAAATAAATGCGAGCATCACATTTTTTGTAAGCTGTTGGTGGATTTTCTATTTCATCTCAAGAAATAGAGTTGAGAATTTTCATGTTTGAGCTTTTCATGAATGCATTAAAACTAGCTAATGAAAGCATCTTAACTGTATTTTTTAGGGGTTCTAGTGGGGAATAAAGAAGCTTACCTTTTTTTTTTTGCTATTGTATATTATGAAATTAAAGAATTTCATAAATCCTACAACAGTCAAACCATGCATTATAGGGTACTTAGTACTAATAAGGAGAAATTGCTTTCTACTGATGCTCTACAAATAATTTTTATACCTTCATGATAAATATTCTAGAGTAGAAAATGAAAGATGCTAATAAATACATTTTGATATTCCAAACAGTCTTTAAAGTCATTGTTACCCTCAACCACCATGTATTCTCCTCACACCTTTGATTACTCTTTGACTTTTTGCAGGGTTTATCCTTTTTAATGCATGGAAGTGTGAGTATTGTCATTTCCTCTTAGGTGGCGTCCTTCTATT